TAAATATACAATTAGGGATGTTGATCTGGGTCAACTCTCAGGCAGAATTAGCAGTTTCTGTTAATTGTAGTGCTTTTGTTTTGAGTATTAATTTCCCTGTAATTATACTGTAATTGCACTGGGAAAAGCTTATATAGCACCTTTCTTCTTAATTTTGAGCACTGAAAGCACTTTCTACTATAAGTCTCATTCACCCAGTGACACACACATTCATACAGTGCTTTTATCTATCCCTAAGCACTTTTATCTAACATTCACACAAACATCAGGGGCATCAGGGTTCAGTATCTTGCCCAAGGTTACTTGGGAATATAAAATATTAATATAGATACATAATACGCTGGACAGCCGGGGTAGAAATTGGTAGAAAGCCTGAGACAGCTGGAAACTGAACTATATGGAACTAAATGTAAAAACAAATACATAAATGTGTATTTGTTTCAGAAAAGTCTTACTCTAACATTATTGTCAGTCAATACCCAAAGAACTCAAATTACCTACTAAAATATGCAGAAACTGTGCAATTCACGCATAAAACAATATGATGATAGTTATAGCATAGACAATTTCAATATTATGTCACTTAGTGGTTTTGTGGGGTCCACTGAGGCTATTTTACTGCCAAAATAATGACAGTGACTTGAGCTTAGCATATGTCATGGTCCCAGGCTCCCTTACCGCTCAAAATTACGTGTTCCTTACTCACCAAAACGTTTGCGGGTCCACCAGTGTGGCTCTTTGAAAGTTGTGAACTTCACGTCCGGGTGCAGCTTTAGTCTATCATACAGGTCTGTTGTGCCGCACTTTGGCTGACCAATGATATAGAAATAAGGAAGGCACCGCATGCGGTAGAGTTTCCTGTTGTGATGAAGCAAATGTTCGTGGAAAGTGTTCCTCAAGTGCTGGAAAACTGTTCTGAAGCGCCGCGAATAGCGTCCATATAAGTTTGTCCTGTATGGGTCGGAAGTGATATTCCCAGTGTATTCCTCATACCAGCAGGGGTTCTTGACACCAGGCAGAAATTTGCGAGGGATAACAGAAAACATCTGTAAATGCAGAAAGCAGGTTGCATCAGTCTGTTAGGCCATTTAGACATTTCACGCAAAACTTTTTGTAAACTCTCAATTATCATCGCACGGTAGAAGATGAATATGTTTGGGGTTTTTTGTATAGCCTACAGACCATTATTTTGGTAGGACTAGGCAAGCACTGTGTGCGTTCATGACAAGTTTGTGCAGCTAGAATGTGGTCTCTGGCAAATCAGAGTTATAATAAATTAGAAACACAAGCAAGTGGCTTCATGCTAAATTTGTTGAGCAATGTTCCAATAAACACCAGCACACTCTATCATATCTGTACTGCTGATGCTCAGCCACATAGTCCAGCCATTCATACCTTTTTCCTTGTTCTGGAGGCTTTTTTGCATTCAGTCTGGTCTTGAATAGTTAAAACGAACATTAGCTGAATTGTGTTTGAGGGACTGATTTGGCCAGAAGGGAACATTGCAATTTGTGGCCATAAAAACAATCTAACTCAGATCCATTATCCACCCTCACACTCACAAAAAGAGCTTCAAATTCATTGTTGAGTAAGTGTGGAGGTGCAAACTCACAAAATGTTAACTTTCATTCTGGTAATTTTGTAACCAGATTAACCTCTAATCTCATCTCACACTTTCTGGTAGCACTACACATGAGCATGCATGCATTCATTCACATTGTTAAGATGTTATTTTTTTCTTTTTGTTGATGAAAGGCAGCAAATAATCACGTCACTATGACTTGCTTGCACTTTGTAAGACGTGGCTACTTTAAGGACAATTAATGCCGGATCCATCCACAGATGCAGTATTGATTGTCCTGCAGCCACTCTCTCCAATTCATTAGGTTGTTCAATAAGAAATTAGTTATATTGCAAATAGCCCAAGCACAAGCCATTATCATTACGATTAGCAATTAATTGAACTAAGCTTTGAGGTGAGACGAACAGTAAGAAAGCCTCAAGGCCAACATGCTGAAGGACCTCGAGATGGCTTTGAGCTTAAGGGGACCTATGTAATTATCTGGTTTGGCATAAAGAGTTATAGAAGGATTTCAGTGCAGGTTTATCTCTTTATGAATTAAATTAGACACTGTAGCCAATGGGGAATTACACCAGAGTAGCCGTATTCAGCCCTGGGTAGACAGCATGTAGGCAGGAATGCTGATTTCAATCACCTTTTCAACACATTTAATTATAGCACAAGGCTCTTCGGGCTGATTAAAGGAGTAATATAAATAGTTATATAGTACTGAAGTATGAATTTAATCAGTTTTAAATAAATCAATTTTGTGATAGCATTTGATATCCAAAGCCAAAGTCCATGCGTTAAATTGGAAAAAGAATATATAGAATAATTTGGATACTCACATGTGGCTCACTCTTAACCAGTGCTTTAAGCTCCGGAAGCTGTCTACTGCTCTGAAACTCCACCTTAGATGCAATGGATTTGACCACCATTTTAATATGTATGTAATCCTTGACCGAGGAGAGATTAAAGGTTAAAGGTCCTGGGCTGACCAGGCTGCTGAAGTGATAGGGAGAAGGGGTGAGGAGAAGGCCCTTTTTGTCCCCAGTCAGAATGTATGAAGCCGTGATGAGGAACATGACAGCCAGGCCAAACAGGAAGCTGTAGACACGGATCTTTCGGAACCACCCCAGGTTGCTCCATCGTCTTGGTAGATCCCGTTTTACCTCCAGAACTGCAAACAGGTTCATAGGTGTTTCATCCACCTGCAGGAGTAGCGGTCTCTTGCGGTAGTCCTCCACCGTGGAGCCCAGCAGGCTGTACTTGTAGTCCATCTGTGTCATGATGTCCACAGCCTGTGAGTCCCGGGCGTCCCAGCTCAAACACAGGGAGGTGTTATGGAGCAGGAGCCTTTCAGACAGGATGTTTTGAGATGGGTAAATAGCCAGTAGTTGATATCCATAATGGGTTATGGAGAACAGCCCACCTCATCCACTGACTTCTGCTAACTAAATGGAGAGAGACAGAGAAAGAAAGAAAACTAAGTGCGATGACTAGGTGTCAACATTATCTCACTGTTTTCATTATCTGGCTGAAATATTGTAAAAGAGCAGAATTATTATAAAAAAACTCATTTAAACCTCTCTGATTGTGTGAAATTGTGACGTTGCTATATTGTAATTACCTGCTGTGAATACGAAGAAATATAAAATTGCAGCAGCTCACAAAATGTCAACATTTCTACCTCAACAAAGCGGTATAATCATGAGAAAAATGTAACTAATTGGAATGACTTCTTAAACTTCCTGTTTCAATCAGACATTACAGCAGCGCTCTACTCATTGTCCATCCTCCCATCCTTCCTGTGCATTGGAATCACAATATGGAAGAAACGATAAGGATGAGAGAGACATTCAGCCCAGAAACTATGAGGCTCTCACGGGGAGGGACATAGATATAAGAGATACGCAGCCGGGCCTGGACCACAGGAGGGATTATATTATCAGAAAATAGTATTCCTCACTGTGAAGTCACTTGGATCAACACTCACCTGCAGATAAAAAAGAACGCCAATGTCTAAAGGGTGAAAGAAATGTTGATCTTTAAAGATAATGCTCTCGCAGTACTACCTTCTGGTTTTATCCTTGAGGTTTTCTTTGTGTCTAAAGGTAAGCCATAATGATTTTCTCTGAACAAAATACAGCAGGATGACAAAAAGGATACTTTTTAAAAGGGTGAGCAGAATGATTTTATAGCTGAAGGCTTTGGAAATGTTTCCCATCTTCACACTTGGAGCTGCATATATATATATATATTATACCCATGCAGTTGAAGCTGATGTATGCCATTCCTGCTCTTGCTCGCATACATCATAAGATAAGGGCACCGTGGAAGTGAGTCATTGCTCGTCCTCACAGCTGCTGATATTGTCTACCCCCAGCTACCCATTGCAGCTCTGTATTCCAGCAGCTTGCAGGCAGAGCTGATAAGAAGACGGAGTGACTGCCTCCCTGCTCAAGCAATGTCATTTACCCCCCGCTGGGCCATCAGGTTCACCCCACAGCAACAGTCTTTCTAGGAAACAGGTGTCGAAATAACAAGCTCTGCTCTGAAAAGGTTCCTTTCCAACCTACAAGAAGTTCACCTGACAGTACCTTCAGTTTGGAAAAGAAAGACGCAGATGTAAAATATGTTTTTGCTTTACGCCAGCAAAATAATGGATCTTAATCGATAGATTCTTCAGTTAAAGGATTGTACACTATAATCACAGCACTAAAGTTAGGATGACATTTACAGAATTAGACCTAACAAGCCCGCTGATTACTGTTGATGAGCATATCACTCTCTGTATCACTCTTCTGTTCTGTTCCTTTATCAGTCAATTGGGGGTCATGGCAAAGACTACAAGGATGAAGGCAAAGAAAAATGGTGCATGAGGGTTACATATGAAGAGAGATCGAGACAGGTAAAACAGATGGATGGAAAATGCAAAAGCAAATAAGGGACGGTGTCATTGACACAACAATGTCACTCTCAAGGGAAGTTGCATCTAAATCAATCAGTCAGCTAGCTGTAGCAGTGGGTGACTGGCAGCTTGACAAATCTGCTATACTCATAAAGCAAATATGTTGCTCCTGTCCATCAAGTATGATGAAATAGCTTAACTGGAACTGAAATATGTGTAGAGGGCAGTGGACAAAGAGAACACAAAGTTGCATCATCTACCTTTTTCAGCTGATAAACCTTTAAATCTGTAATAATTAAAGCATGGATTTGAAGACTATCTGCACTGAAGGCCACCCGTCACATTCATTTTTCCACCTTTAGCATCCTTAATGCCTCTGAACACTGCCTGTAAGAAAGTAGCTGAAAAGTTTTTTTGCAACTAAGTTTTAAAGCATTAGTAATAATTCTTTCAATAATGTGTAATTAATCTATATTAAGCATTAAAAAATCTTAAACTATTATCTGGCCACTAGCTATTCAGTTCAATTCTTCCTATTAAATTCAGTGTACTGATACTGTGTTGCACCAACAACAAAAGTCAACCAAACAAATTTAAAGAGGAAACACAAAAATCTAGGTATAGTTTTACTGCTGATATCTATCTGTACTGACATCTATAAATAAGAGAAACACCCTTCAATCATCAATATTATTATGGGTGTTGACTTTGCATAGTTTGTTCACCAGCTTCCCTTGGCAGCACACATGTTTGAAACGCCACAGACACAACAACCAGCTGAGCAGAATCGCGTGAAGCATAAATAAAAAAAAAAATACAAATAAATATTATGGAAATCTGTTTATGTTTCATGTCTTTAAAAGAAGAAGAAAAATGGCATAAGAAATATTGGATTTTTTTTTTTTTAATTGACAAATATTGGTATCTGTCCTAAGAGTCCTATTGATCCGGCTCCAATGCCCTGCAGCTTGTGAGTAGTGAGACTAAACCTCTTTTGAAGAAAGAAATCTCATCTGCAAATATGTCTTTACTCAAATGTAATGCAAATGACTGTGTGTGTGTTTTTTAAAGATAAAACTTGATATCAGACTAGGCTGAGATGTTTTAGCTATGAATAAAAAAAATTGTGTGCATCTATCTGAATAGAACAGATTTGAGTGCAATATAGTATAAAACCATTTGTGTGCGTGTTCTAGTATAAAACCTGTTGAAAAGCTTTTGTGCGTGCATCAGTACTTCATTTTCAGGTCTTTTTCAAACCACAGAATAATAAGACAGGATAAATTTGATAATACGATTTCGTGCTTTGTAAAATTAATAATGATCACTAAATATTTAATAAATTATTATCGCACAATCAATATCACCAGTAGTTTCAGATTTTAGTTGAAATTGGCACTGAGAAATGAAATATCACTCATGTAGGGAGACCGCAGGTCTGGAAACTGGTTTGGCTGGAAAGATCAAACACATAACCACACAGATAACTCAAATTCATAATAACTGTAATTAACTTTGAATACATAAGCCTCAGTAGTAGTGGTGTACGTGCTGCGCTGACGGCTCCTTCCCTGTGTGGTACAAATGGAATTGGCCACAGTCTTAATAACTCATGAAAGCGAGGCCTCTCCATACTATCTACCCTGTCATTTAGGGACATATCAGCACAGCCAATCAGGCTGATTTGTTTAAAGTCTGCTGTCTGCTTTCCTCCAAGCTTCCCATCCCGGCTCTGGAAAAAAACAGCCCTCCTCACACCAGCAGTTAATTGCTATTCTCTTTTGTACTTTCCCTTCTTTCACAAACAATTATTTTCTTTGTGTTTATTTCTGTCAATACAAAAATGTTTCTTTGTGTGAAAAGTTGCTGTGTGTAACTCATTTTTTGGCCAATCTGAATCTATTGTTGGCGATCACTATCACGCTATTGGCTGTAGCAAATCAAATTTAAACAGGCTATGCTACAGCTTTTCTAATGTTCTGAAGATGAAAATTTGCTTTCTTTGGTATTGATTTTGCACACACACAAAAAATGGAAAAGTGGTGACACAAAAGCAACATGTCCATGCGTTTTGGTCTCATTCTTAGAGAAAGCGAATGACAAAAACACTCAACAGCCCTTTAACCATTCATTGCTCACAGCAAGGAATTATTGTTATACCTGGCTGGAGAAACAGTCTGTGTAGCAGAGAGTGCACTGTCCTACTTCCTCAGCTCTCTGATATTTCAAATGGTGGAAATTAATTGCTGGCCTGCTGATGGGCCGTCTTTGTTTTGATTCAAAGCAAACCAGTAGTGCTTTCTCAGGCTACGGAGAACTCACAGGAAACGTTTAAAATACCATCGCTGTCTTCATTTTTGACTCATGGAGAAGATTAAAAGGCCTTGTTTCTACTGGGTTTAGCACTAACCCATTTTCAGAGGAAATGCTTTCTCTTTGAAACATTGTGCAAGAAACTCTTGAAGATGTTCCGCAAGATAAGTTGGCCGAGTATATGTTTGTGTCCTCTTGTGTCTCCGGGCGTTCTTAAAATGTCAGACTATCTTTTAATATTCAGTGCTGTTTACACTGCACGATAGCTAAAACTTCACTTATCTGGAGAAGCAACAGGCAGATTAGAAGTTGCACTCGTGGCTGGGATGCAGTGAAGCGAAATGCTATATGAGGTTTTGCACAGGGTCAGTTGATAAGCTCAGGCGAGCCCGATTCATATCACCAGAAAGACTCATGAAAAATGGTTGAATCCTCAAGCATTTATTAGTCACCGGAAACCCAATCCATAATCAAGTGTTCAATCAGAAATGTGGGTGATGAAGGAATAAATCAAGATAGAAGGAAGAAAGCAAACATTTATATTCTCTTGTAGTGTTGGTCCTTATATAATCTCCCTATATAGTACCGCCTCTGCCAACAAGTCAAGTTGCACTTTACAGCCATGTAAATCCAAACATACATGTAAAGATGCCTTCAAAGACATGTAATACGTGGGCACCGAATATTAGTTTCACAAATTCAAAATGATGAAAAATCTGGACATTTCTTCCACTTCTGTTCTGAGGCTATGGTGAATAATGGCCAACAGTATGATGATGCACTAAAGTTGACCTTTGAATATAGCTCCAGGGCTCGGTTGTGGGACACAAGCCACTGTACTCCTACTGCCGGTCCCAAGTCTGGATACGTTGGGAGCCTAGTGTCAGGCAGGTCATCTCCTGTGGCGACCTCTAAACAGAGCAGCCAAAATAAAGAGGAGGAAGTAATGTTCACCTTTGAATCTGTGGCTTATAAAGTATTATCAATCATCATTGAATCACATAGATTTTCCAGTGAATATGGCATAAATGAGTTGTCTTTTGTCCTGTCTTCTTCCTGTTAAAAGGGAGTTTTTCCTTCCCACTGTCACCAAATACTTCCTCATAGAGGCTCATTTGACTGTTGGGGTTTGTTCTATATTATTCTAGGGTCTTTACTTTATCATATAAAGTGCCTTCAGGTGACTTGTTGTGATTCGGTGCTTTATAAACAAAAACTAAATTGAACACA